CCCTGCTTCTGATGATAGTCCTTGCAGTCTGGGCTGTGTGCAGCCATTAATAGCATCGTTTACTTGTGTCGCTGCGGTGCTCTGCACCTTGCAACAGGTCCAGAGCAAAAAGGCAGCTCCTAACCCACAGAAGTTGCAATAAAATTATAAAACAGAGGTAGACTGGGCAGTAGAAGGGAAGGGAGATGGCGTTAGCAGGGGAGGCAACCAGCCTGCAGCGTTCACTGCTTGGTTGTTGTCAACTTTTGTTTGTAGGCATCACAGCAGTATGGAAATCTCTAAGGGGTGATCGAAAGGCTTGATTCAAAATCCAGAGGGGTCTTTGCACTGATTTTAATGGATTTTGGAGCAAGCCTCTCATGATAGCTGTGCAATGATTCTTCCAAAGAGAAACCTGGCAAAGGTGCAGGTGCACAGAGGTTCAGGAAAGGAGTCCTTCACTCAGGGACTGCTGGGGAAGGAAGTGAGAACGTGATACTGGAAGTCGATTCCACTTCAGACATCTTGTCTGTAAGAGAAATAATCCTTTGTGAGATTTCTGGCTGCACAGACATCCGCTAGCGGTGGCTAGGCCAATACTGGTGACAATCCTGCCTGACTGCAGACGGCTCTTGTCACTGCTTTCCTTTCAGAGACACGGTATTTGGGATTATCCAGCTGCAGTTTGTAGCTGTAGGCTGGCCCAACTTTTGCTGTAAAGCGTGTTAATTTTTCCTGCATTCTTTAACAGATAAATATGAATACAGATGTGAGGCTGGCAGCTGTCAATGAAATCTTTATCAAACATGGTTTAATACTGGGGATTACAGATGCCCTGGATGGGCCACACAACATCCTACAAGTATCCTTTCTGTAGGGAATCATTTGTACCCCTCCTGGGTGGCTAACGATGTGGAGGTATTTACTGATGTTATGATCCATGAAGATTTCCAGTGGGTGGGACTTCTGGGATTTGTTTTTTCTCCTATTGGATGACATGAGGGATTGGGCATTTTTTCTTCTTCTATAAGTGGGGATTGAGATCTGCCCAAAGGCAATTGGAAATAATGAGTCTAAAAGATTGAGGTGGGATTAGTCCTTTGGGCAGGCAATTATTCCTGAAAGTGTATTATACTTTCACGACAGTGATGATTCTTATTATGAGCAGAGTGACAGCAATGTGCCTATGGTAAAAAAAAAAAAAAAAAAAAAACCACGGAGAAAACCAGAGTCCCCGTCCCTGGGAGCTCATGTTCTGCCTTGCAGAGACAAACTAAGCCAAAAGCATCCAAGTGCCTCTGCTCTCCAGGTGAGAGAGCATTTGTAGCCCTGGGCTCCATCCTTCAGGCACATTAGAGAACTTGATTTCACGGGGCGCGTGCCCGGCAGCCAGGTCTGTAGCTGCCAAGCATTTCTGACCTTCATGGCTTTTTAAAAATGCAGGTTGAAGAAACCAGGTAGGGGGAGGCTCATTTGCTGCTTTATAGAGATACCTTTTCTGGACTAGACAAAGACTTAGAGGAAAGAAGAGAGTTTTAAAACAGCGTGAAAGTGTTAAAGGAAGGTGAGAGAGATGGTGTCCCAGATTTGCTGGTGGACCTCACACCCCCCCATATATACAGAGAGGTATGAAATAAATGGAGAGGGAACCAAGGCTGAAACATGGGGTCAGAGAAGGGGGCAGGGAATACCACAGGAGGGCTGGCAGAGGTGAAGTCATGCAGAATGAGGAGGAAACACTTAAGAACCTGAATTACATGTTTGTTCAGACCAACGTAGTTTTGTACCTCAGTAAGTAAGGACTAATCCAAGGAGCCTCCACTTCTATCTACGTGTCCCGGAACTGCCTGAGAGCAGAAACAACCCAAGGATTTACGATATCTCAGTCTGCCCCAATGTCAGATCCATTTTAACCCTCTAGCTTTTACGCTGTTCCTGAATCCCCTTCGTGAAGGCAGCTGGAGTAGATATACAAGGGCAGACCTTTGGCTGCTGCTCTCAAAGCTGGCAGGACTCACATCCCCAGCATGTTGCTCTTGGAAGACTCTTCACAAACAGTGCCTCTGTCCTAAAGACAAACCCCAAGTACAGTAAATTTTGTAAAAAATAAATGGAATGAATCCCTAGAAACAAAAGAAAGAAAGCAGGAAGGAGTTTAGGGGAGCCAAGTCAAGGTGACTCACCAGTTTATTTAGATGTAACGCCATTGAGATGAGTGATGGGCAATGGCCCTGGGTTATCCCAGTTTTCACCCCCCGCAGGCTGCAGGAGGTGGGCGAGGAGGACTGGCTGCCCTCTGGGGCAACGTCCCCCTTCCCTGCCACCCCTCTTCTCTTCCCCTTTACCTTGAGGTTTTGCCTTAGCCCAGACCCTCTCGGTTTAAAATGAGCCCTGCGATGTATTGTTTGGTTCCTGTGTCCTGAGCATCCCATGGGCACCACCAGCCTTTGCTCTGCTTCTGCGAGGTATGTACCACGATCTGCACCGAGGCAGAGGGCTGCGGAGGGGGAAGCATGGAAAGACCCCTTCCTTAACCCTGCCCGTCCCAGCTGTGGTTCGTGCAGTTCAGCCCGGAGCGCTGCCTCCAGTCCTTGTCAGCCCACATCATGGACCTGCAGAGGACACGAGAGGTAGGTGACGGCAGGCACAGCCCGAGCTCCCGCGGTGACACGTGCAGGTCCACCCCTACGCCCCGGCTTTGGTGGGATGGAGGTGGGCAAGGAGAACCGGGTGTTTGAGTGTCCTCCTGGGCATCCCCTGCCGTGCACTGGGAGCTGGACAGACT